GTCAATCGACGATTGACTTCGGAACGTTCGAAATTTCGAACAAACTCCCGGCACACCTAGCGCGATATTCGTCAGATCGGTGTAGAAGACGCCGTACTGCAGCGTCAATGCCTACACAGGTCAACATGTGACCGGAAGAATACAAAAATTTGATTTTTTTTGCTTGGACAAATTATAACATACGCGTACCCATTAATCTATGAAGGTATCCATAAATAATCTAAAAAAAGTTGACAGTAACGAGTGATGTTTTTTTTTCATGCCGTGTTTTAGCCGGGTGGCATCACCTTTTTGTCCTTTACATGTTTTGTCATATAGCATCTCAGTGTTTGCAACTCGAGTGACAATTTGTTCCCCATTGACAGCGTCCGTACTTCACACGTGTTTAACAATGGGACTGTTTAATTCGTCCCGGCAAGTTCAAACCACCGTGGCATTGACAGTGTTAATTTATGCAGTGCTACGTGTGAGCGGGTCAAATGGATGTAAACAATGCATCCTATTAGCATGGCGGTGAAGTTGTAAGCATGGCGGTCCGAGCCCAAGCGTGGCGGCCGGGTCACCAAGCATGGCGATGCCGCTATGCTTTGTTCTATGTGGGGAGAACACTGGATTAATTTCAAACTTGGTATATACATTAGACATTATGGGACCTTGATGCAAATAATTTTGTTTTTCAGATAAAATTAAAAATGGCCGACTGGCAGTCATTTTGTTTTAATGAATGTGGTTCTCGTGCCATATCTCTGACTTGCTTTCACTGATTATGTTCAAATTTTAAATATTCATTATACATCATGTCATAGATAGACAGATATATTGGTTTGATGGCCATTTTTGTGCTAAAAAATCATCAAATATCAAGCATTTATGGATGGATTTCGTTCAAACTTGGTACATACATTAGACATTACAGGTTCCTGATGCACGTCATTTTATTTTTCAGATTGGATTCAAAATGGTTGACTGGCGGCCATTTTGTTTTAATGATTGGGCTTCTAGAGCCATATCTCTTAAATGCTTTGACTGATTATATTCAAATTATATTCGTTATACATCATGTTATATATATACATGTATTCAAAATGGCTGATTTTGAATGCTGTTCCAGAGCAATATCTCTCAATATGGACAAGTACTTTTTTGACGATCAGATACAAATGTCAATGATTTTAATGTTAAAAACTCATATTCCTGACATGGTTATATTCCAGCTATATTACTATAAACAAAACTATATATCTTAAATTTGATAACTAACGGGGACTGTGCCATGCATGGCTTGTTAATAATAAATGCAAACCTTTTTTCAGATACATGTATATGTACATGCTCTTTATAAATTTCCAGATCCTACAAACATATTTGGTTCATCTATCTGCATTATTTTCAGGAAAGAGGTTGGTGGTGCTAAGTGGGTTACTGGTGCTAGGGGACAGCTGACTGGATACAAATCAAGTAAGACTCTTGGTAAATATCCAGCCAGCAAATCTGAACCAAAAAAGAAATCCAGAACTCAAGAGAATGTATATAGAGGTGAAACCAAAGCTTCTGCTACAGCTAAAGAAAAAAACCAAAGAGTTACACCATCAAATCCAGACATGCCTTCTTTGGGTCAGACATCAAACCCTGGTCTGAAGTCTGAAGGTAGAACATATCAGGGTTTATCAGCCAAAGGTATTAGAGTCGGTAAGTCCCCTAATATAAACAATGTAGAAGCTGTAGATGATGCCAATGGTACAGCTCCTTACAGTGAACGAATTGCTACCATGAAAGCCAAAGTGCTTGCTAAAGCCAGTGCCAAAGTAAAAACACCGAAGAAGGAATCCAGTCCCAAATCTGTTGAGAGTGACGGTGAAATGACCAAAGTTATGCAGGGTGATGCTGAATCAAAAATAGACAGTACGTTGACAAGTAATATTATTGAAAATATTAGAGATCCGCCAACCAAAGATCCTATACATATTTGCATACCTGCTCCTGGTGTAAGTAGTTCATCGGAGTCCAATGATGGAGAAACCTCTACTTCTATTATTACGCAACAAATCTGTGCACAAAATAACCTTAAAGAACACGTAACAAGCACATCTGAAATTAGTCAGACTAGAGATGGTCGTAAGAATGAAAACCTGAAGTTGGAATGCAATGCATCCGGTAGTGAATCAGAATCTCAGGATTCTGAAAGTCGGAAAATCATTCCTAAAATAGTTGATGGAGAAGAGGAGGTAAATGCAGATAGAGTAAGTGTTCCATTACGACTGAACAATGAGCCCAGAACTAATGCCAACAGACCTCATCCGGATAAAGACCCCCTGTTGTATGATCCGGTACTTAGTGTCTGGATGTACGGACTTAAATTGCTTGATACAGAGCAGTATATTAGAGTATTTGTAGAGAATGAAGTGACAATGAAACGATTAAAACTGTTGAATGAAAAACAGCTGAGGGAGTTTGGTATTACATCACCTGGTCCACTAAGTAAAATTATGCATGGCATTAAACTGTTGAACAAAGAAGTCACTGCATGTAGCCAAAAATTTGATTTGCAAAGAGCAAGTTCAGAAATGTCATCAACAAGGAGAGACCAAGCAAAGCAAAACAATATAAAAGAATACCACAGTTCTGCAGGGAGTGTGACAATAGAAGCCTCAGGCGGCCATGGCCACACAAGTACAGAGATGTGTTCACAGAATATAGAGGCAAGACAAGTAAGAAGTGCTGACACTACGGGCATTGAGAAGAAAATTCCTAAAATAAGACCTGTCTCTTCTAATGTTACACAAAGAACACTTGCATCTGGTAAGTACCGTTTATACTAGAATAAAAGTACTCTGTATGTATAGCGGGATAGGAGAACTGTCATTTTATTTATTTATTTATCAAATTTGGTGTTTAAGCTGTCAAATTATTTGATTTGTCATTGTCATTCCTTAATTTATGAAAATACAGAAGGAACACATACATGTATGTTCATTCACCTGTCCTTTCAGTGAATTATCAAATTATTTTGTTATATTCTATTGACTATTCACTTACATGTATTGTATCTTCATTCATTACATTGTTATTATATAGGCATACATGCTGCAAGTCACAAACTGAAGCGGCAACGTGAGCTGCAAGAAAAAGAGAAACAACATCAAGAGAAGATACAGAAGTTGAAGAAAGCAGAGAGAGACAAAATGGCTGCTCAGTTTCACCTTAGAAAGAAGATCAACAAAGAAAATAAAAGAAGAAAAAGCTCTTCGTCAGATGAGGTAATGTCTGACAGAACACATGACAGTGAGCATAATAGTGACGGCATCGAAGACTTACTAGCTGTGTATACTAAAGGTAATATGTCAATCTCATCTTTCTTAGTGTAGTGTTTCATTCCCTGTGTATATTTAATGCCATGGTGACATTGGTAACCACTCCTTTTCTTAGTGTTGTGTTTCATTCCCTGTGTAAAATCAATGCCATGGTGACATTGGTAACCACTCCTTTTCTTAGTGTTGTGTTTCATTCCCTGTGTAAAATCAATGA